TCTAGGTCACATCCTATGCACAATGTTCTATCCTGCACATCACAGTCCCCTTAACAGCAGTCATTTTCCCAAAAGGCCACAGCAGAGTAACAGTCGACTTGTTAAGAGAAAAGAATGAGGGGAAGGAAGCACAGAGAGAAGCCAAGATGAGATGCACTTGGGATCCATGGAGACAGACAAAGAGAAAGACAGGGAAGGGAAGAGAGTTTTAGAGAGAAAACAGACCACTCCTCTTGATTTGTGACATCTCCCTCCTTTGTAGTTGTGAATGCCCTGGAGTGGCGGAATTACTGTCCTTCTTCAAATGAGATGCTAGCCTTCATTACAAATAAAACCAATAGTTCAATGAAGGTCTCTTTCCCCGCCACCCCAAACAATTTCCCCAAACTCCAGCTTAGAGTCAACTTGTTCTAGTTCATCCTTCTAGCAAACAACCAACTGTGCTCACCTTACACATTTCTCATTTAATTGAGAGGGACTCTGTGATTGGAATTTGTCCACAAGGCCACAGAAGGCCTCTCTCAGCCCCTTGTCCTCAATGGCTCCCTGACGTTTAGTTTGCTTTCTGAGCCTATCAACTCATCTCTACAATCGGCACTGCCTTTCTTCAAGGCCCTATTTTTCAAATTGTACTAGCAATAAAAATCTGTTGCCCACACGGAACAACTATAACTATATAGAAGCATTCACTATCTAGTGCATAAAATGCACTCTTTTTAAAAAATAGTATTTTATTTTTGATGTCCCTTGTTGCTGACTACACTGAATTGGTTGGCTCATCCATCAATCAAGCATTTATTTACTATACAGATGACGACTGAGAGGCTTGTGCCTTGATTTTGGAAACAGAACCAAGTTTAAATTTTAGCTCCATAATTTAATGGTTTGGGGAAATTCAGCAAGTAATCTAAATTTTTTAAGCCAATGTTTCCATGTTGTCAAATAAGGATAGAAATAGCTATGTGATAAAGATGTTGTAAAGATTAAATAACTTTGAAAATACGGAGAGGCATATGTTACTGCTCAACAAATGTTATTTGCTCTGTGTTTTTATCCACTATGGCACTGAAAAATAAAAAGACATAGATCCTACTCCTGGAGAATCTTAAAAACTAAAAGGGGATGCAGGTCACATTATATAAACAATTACAATACAGAACAAAGGTGTCAGAGAAAGAAAGAACAATGCTGTCTGCAAAGGGAGAGACTGGATTTTGTTAGAGGCTCCCAGAAGAAGATACAGGGCACACAGCGTTTAAACTGAACTGGCTTATTACGAATGGGTATGATTTTGAGGTTTGAGGTACAATTAGTGGAAATTTAAAAGTACAATCCAAACACTGGGTGGAGCTGGAATAGGATAATGATGGTGAAGACCACAGCTATGATGGATGGATGGACAGTGATAATATCAATCGTGACGACGTCAAACATTCAGCATTTATTTATGTTTCCCTTAGCCAAGCACTCCGTCCACATTCAATTGCTTTAACAATCCAGGGAGGGAACGGAGATGCAGAGATGGTAAGGAACTTGCTCATGGTCACAGAGGTACAGAGGCTAATCGTTGTACCCAAACGGTCCCTGACACTGCACATTGGCCCGCTGCAGCAAACTACCCCTCTGCCTAAAATCACAGAGGCAAGCAAAGCCCAAGATTTGTTGGGACAATAATATATCACTCACAAATTAAAAACTTCAACCTTTAAATTACTGATAAAGTATGTATCACATCCCAGTATTATCTTATTTGATAATGAAGGCAAAATTCTCTTCAACAGAATTGACAGGACATACTTCATTCTTTCTGTTTCAAAATCAATTCAATATCGAAGGGGGTACCAACCCCCGCCCCCAAACGGAGAAAAGCTCCACTTAACAAGCTTTCTTAGTATGTATTTTTCTCACTTTGAATTTGAAAAATATTCCCAAGAATGGAAATGCAGATTTGACTAATGTATTAAGCCTAATGGAGAGGACTTCAGAGGTGATAATGTTGTTTTGTAAAAAAAAAAAAAAAAATTAAATACAGAGCTTTAAAAAATCTTGTTTTTGGGGGGTGGGGGTACACCCTCGTATTTTCTTTGGAACTTGAATACACTTTCAGATAACCCTGCACTATTACACAAGAGAGCTGCATGCAGATTCATGTAATACAGTGTGTTCACAATGTAAAGCCTCACCGAGGTTGGAGTGGAGGCAAAGGCAGGAAGAGAGGAGTTCTGAAAAAGAGAAGAAGGGAGACAGTGGGGAGGGAGAAAAAGCGGGATCAGAAGAGCAAAAGCAAAGACCTGTCAATTATCCAGTAGATGGCATGGAAATCTTGGAAAATTTGATGGTGGGGTGGGGCTTGGTCCTAGTTCTCTTGGACCAAATGTGTGCGCTGACAACTGCATCGACCTTCTAGGATTCAAGGCATCTCTAAGAGCCCAGAGTTCTCAGTTAAAAAATATACACAATTGTTCTAATTCCAAAGCCCTGAAGCCCATTAGACCATCACGACTGAACATTTTTATATCATGCCTAAAAATGCTCTGTTAGGACAGCTATCTTTCATATATTTCTAGTAAATGATAGATCTGACTCATGAGTGAAAACTCTCCTGAAATGTACGGTAATTCCAAGAAGGAAATGGTTGCCAAAAAAGAAAAAAAATGTCCGTCCTCACCTTTTTCAGCCGAAGCCAGAATTATTCTCTCTTCTAATGCTCCAGGATGTTGTTTATGAAAGTTAGTATGGAACCTATTGAATCTATCATTTTCCGACATTCAAAAGGTGATGGTCGGACAAGCAATCTCATCCCCCACGCTCCAGCCTGACCAAGCACACAATACTTCAGTGCAGCTTCTTATGAAACAAACAGTCCTGGTGGCATTGTTGGGCAAGCACTGAATTGCTAACCACAAGGTCAGAGGTTCAAACCCACAAGGCCCTCCAAGGGAGGAAGATGAGACTGGTTGGTCCTGTAAAGATAAACATCTTCCCAAACTATGTGGGGTGGGTGTCAGTCAGAATTGACTCAATGGGAGTGGGTTTGTTGTTTTGTTTTATTTTATTTTTAATAAAATAACTTAAGGTAGCATGAAACTTAATATACCAGATGTAATTATTAGTTTCACTTATAAAACTAGAAAGTTATTCACTCATACATCCATTTGATGATCAAACGTACCTTCATTTTGGGAATGCATGATACTGGTCTGTCAGTTGCACAGTCAACCCCATCCAATCCAAAGGAATTACTTAAGGAATTTATGGTACAAAATGAAAATCTCTTTTTAAAAATCATGACATTAATTTTAAAATACATAATTGTGAAAATAAATTCTGCAAAGTGTTGTAATAATTTCGACTACATAACACATTAGAGCCTGGCAGTTTAAAGTGGGGGAATGGGCAGCATGAATCCTACTCTGACCACAAATGTAACTACAGACAGGCCGACCCTGCAACCGCGCAACCCTCACCAGTACACCTCTGCCACTTACAGACCGGCCTGTGCTTCCTGAGCAAACCAGTGCAACTTCACAAGAGCATTACAAAATACATGGTCCTGCCTTGAGCTTAGTTTGTCTTCAAGTGATTAGAACCATTTTTTAAAAGTTTATGGGGAAATAATGAAAGCATTTGGGGTCTTCTGAAAGAAAACTACACTGTGAACACATTTCATTGTCAGAAACAAAGCTATCGATTTTTAAATTTTGTGGTTTTTATCCCATAATAAATGCAAACTGTGTCTTTTCCAGAAGTATTTGTGGAGTAATTAGAAGAGAAGCCACCTCCCCAAACTCCCATCCCCCCAAATCCTAAAAACATGAAAAATGTCATTTCCTTTAACTCCACTAGAGGGTAGTCTCTCAAAACGAGGGCTGGAGTCATGGATTTAGCCTGCTTTTGACCTGTTGATAAATTAATCCTCATGTTCCATTCTTCTCAACAAGATGTTTCTCTAATTAAGGTTGTAAAATATGCATTATTTAAATTTTTGTCTATTAATTTGTAAGGGTGTGTGTGTGTGTGTGTGTGTGTGTGTGTGCGCGCATTTCCTCAAAAACACACACCACTATGCCTTTCCGTTTTCTTTTTCAAATTTCTGGCAATTAAAAATTCTTTCACAGAGGTGGGTATTATAATGTAATGTATATGTCTCCTCAGAGTTAACAGTTCTAAGAATAGAAAATAATCATTTATGAGATTTTAATTTATTACTGTTTAACTATTACTCCCGAATGGAACACATGCACCCAAATATTCCTACACCTGTGTCAGTTTATGCATGGCTGACAGACTGGTTATATCACGAGATGTGAATGATTACAATTGAAAATTTATATATTTATATGTGTATATGTATATATATTATATATATCCCCTCGAATGTCAGTGTTGGGAACCGTGGCAATTGAGGCAAGTGTGTTTCATTTTAATACAAAATCTGGTCGATCTCGATAAGAAATGTCATTTCTCCAAAAATAAAAATAATAAAAGTGTTACTGACCAGCCAGCACAGAAGCTAGACCCGACCAGGGCCTGTCCAGGGGACTGAATGCCCCGAGGGAAAGGCATCTGAAACAACCCGGTGGGTCCTGAACTTCACAGAGAGGACACCGGAGGCTCTGAGTTCCCAAGAGGTGTGTTTAATATTTCGGAAATCCTTCTTAGGATTATGCCCTCCCTATCCCCAGAGAGCAGACACGGCTCCTGGGAGTGGCTGCAAATCCTGAAAATGAGCGAACTTGTCCTAATTCCCAATTCTCCCCTGGGAGGGGCTGGGGGAGAGGCAGAAAAGGATGCCCAGGAAAATCGGCGAGCCTGTTCCCATGCGCTCGCATCCCCAGCAGCAGTGTCATAGAACAGACAGGCTGCTCCAGCCAACCAGGCGGGAGCAGCTGCGAGCGTTACGTCTTGGCAGTCTGAAGCGATTGGCTCCTCTCTGGGGAGTGGAGGGCGTTCGGTTATTAATGACCGCCGAGCAGGCAGCACCATGTCAGTGTGACAACTGATCGGGTGAACGATGCACCGCTAACCACCATGGAAACCAAGCCAGGGCCAGCCAGCTCGCAGGATCTCTCCACGCCGGACTGAGAGCCTCAGCCTGCGCCCAGAGGAAGAGTTCTGCATAAGCACGGGAACCTGCACCGCCCGCCCGCCCGCCTGCCTGCCTGCCTGCCTGCCTCTCCCTTTCCAATCCGGAGATCGAATCGCAGGCATGTGTGCACATTCTTAGTGTGTGGTGGTGTGTACTTTTTCTCACACACTCGTCTGCACCTCTGTACACCTGGGCAAAAACACAACCATGTGATTATCTCAAGTAAAGAAACTGAGGCATCGGGCGCGCAGAGAGATAGAGAGAGAGAGATCCACTGGAAGGTGGTGGAGCGTCGAAACTGCCGAAACTGCCGGGGTCAGGTAAGTTTAAAATCACATTATCTATATTTAAATGTGCTCAATTTCTGGTTGAGTTGATAGCTTTTTCTTTTCTTTCTTCCTTTTTTAACTATCTGCACATTTCCCTTTGATGTCTCCTTCCTATGTGAATTCTCAGAGCGTTTTCCATGTTACTTTTGAGAAGAAATGTCGATGCAGTCGCCGTCTGGTTCTGGGCATGCCTGGCTGTGTTTGTGAGATTCTCCAACATGCATTTTACTAGCTTGAACGCCCATCAGGAGGATGTAAGTGGGAGAGAAAAAGCCGTGTTGGGGGGGAGGAGAGAGAGAGGAGGGAGAGAAAAGAGAAGGGGATGGTGGGAGGGAAGAGGAGAGAGAGAAAACGCTCCTTCCTCCCATCATTTCTAATGAAAAGCAAATCCACACTCTCTGGTGTTTTCGGTCCCCACAGAGTGGGCATTTCCTCCCCTTTCACCCGCTGCATGGATGCAGGCAAGTGGCGTTGCCTGTCCAAAGCTGAGCCACTAAGCTGAGTGGTGGAATGAGCACATCGCGGGCAGCTATTGAATTTCTGCCAGGCTACATTTTAGGGATTGGGGTAAATGACTTCCCTTTAATAACATCCCCCTGTCCAGTCTGATTGCGAATGAAGCTGAGCTGACACACACTAGGTAAAAGGACCCCTTGAACCAGAAGCATTCTAATCTTCTCTGGTAATTAACGGGATCACAGCTGGATGGCTTTAAGGAACATTTCCTATTTAAGAAGACAGTTGATTCAAACCAAGGGCTATATTCCCTTTGCTGTTGTTATTGAGCTAGATGGCTTAATTCCACTCTAATTTATTCATTTTTAACAATATGTCCTTGTTGCTGTGCCTCTAATTTTGGTGAAAGCGGGCTATCCATGAGTAGAGCCTTCCTAATCTACTGAATAGGGGGTAAAGGAAAAATAAAATGGGACAGAAGTATGCATTTAGCATATCTACCTAACTAGCAGTGTGTGCTGGTACTACGAATATTACTCATCTTCTTTAATGCTCCTCTTTAGTTGCAGAAGGAATGCCTTTGAGACAGAATTACTCTCAGTAAACTCCAGGAGCATCCATGCACTGATGATTCATGGAATACAGTGCGGGTTAATTTATACTTCCAACCTTGTAAAAAGCAAGCCAGCTACTTAGAATATGCTTTAAGACAGACAATTTAGGATGTTCTTGGAAATGTGTGCTACCCCCCCTTAACGGGTCCTTCAAAGGCATGAATGCAAACCTTGCTATTTGCATCCAGTCTCCTGCAGCTCGCTCCCCTCCTTTCCCTTGGTTCAGCTACCAAATAGTTCAGGGGATCAGCTGCTTTGAATCAGTGCTATTATTTGTTTCCTCAACTGTGATTTCAGAGTTATTATTATTGGTGTCCTGGCTCATAATATGAGCCCAAACCAAAAGACGGTAACCAGTCATCTAGAGCCTACCACTTCCCATACATGTGTCAAAAAATGAGTCACTTTACAATATGTAATGAAGAAGTCAATTAATTCCAGCGACCTTTGCAAACGATGACAATAAAGCAGCTCTGACAATATGCCACTGGCTTCGATTTTCCCTCTGTAAAATGAACAAGTTTAAGAAGCGGTTTCCTGCTCCGAGTGAAAAATGAAAGGTGCTGAAGCATTAGCTAGCAGTATTGGCAGGCTTGCTCGCTCTGCCTCAAATGCCACATGAAATCTATAGAAAAAACAAAATGATTCATTGCGAAGAGGAAACGGTGTTTTATTTGCTCTTGTGCTATTCATTAGAAGCCCTGCTTTGGCCACAGAACAACAGATCTGCTATTTTGAGATGCCTCCTAAGTTCCTAAAGGAGAGAAAAGGCTAATTCAACCTCCTGATTTCAAACTCTGGTATGATAATGTAGCATTGCAGTATTGATTTCCGTTTTCTTTAGATCTTTTCAGGGTGGGGTGTGGGTGGGGAGGTTTTTCCTACCAAAGACACCGATCTGAAATCTTACTCGACCTATTTTAAATTACAATCAATGACACCTAAGAAGAGGGATTCATTCCCTCACCTAAGTGAAGCACATGCATATCTTGTGGATTAGAGGGATCAGTAATATGCCCACTGGACTCAGAGAGGCAGGCCCTCTGGGCCATCTTCAAGGAGAACTGCTGGGCTCTGGGACTCCATCAGGACCTACCAGGTGATGGACAGACAGGCATGCCTGGAGGTCTTCACCACGGTCTCCCCGATCAAGTAGCTAAGACCAGGAACATTAGCTTTCTGGCCAGACAAGCTTCAGAGGACTGTATCTTCCGGGTGTCATTCATCTCTGGCATCATGCTGAGTTGAAATGCTGATGAGTAGGTGGGATTTCTCTATGGTGGTGACTGTATTCTGTCAATGGCTTAATAAAAGGACTCAAGAGAAAGGTGATCAACTTATGTTTTCATAAGCCATCCTCTGTTGCACTTTATCCTTTTTACACCATGTACTTTGGCCAAAAAAAAAAAAATAGGTTTGACGGTTTATGTTTTTCTCCCCCAGTCTGATTTTTTTCCCCCTGGTTAAAATATCTATGTAGAGTGACATTTGGGATATTTGTTCCAGATGAATTAAGGTGATCAGAAAGGCCTGCCATCTCAGTTAATGGAACCACACACACACACACACACACACACACACCCCTGTAATTTAAATGCTATTGCTTAATTTGCATACCCTGAAGATGGTCAGTGAGGAAATATTTGCTGGTGAACCTGAAGGAGACCATGCAGAGGAAGCTAACAGCGTGCTACAAACGGGTCTCTGTTTCTAGCCTCCACAGGATGTTCCCAAAGACCTTAAAATAACTTGCCTCCAGCCCCCGTGGAGATACACTGGGCACATATGCAGCCCACCGAGATACGGGCCTGCTTGTGGAGGCTGAGCTACTTCACTATCACTCCGTGGGGCGTGCAGTGAAATAAGGCAGGTAAACACCAGGCAATACAGCAGCAGCGCTGAGTGTCAGTGTGGATGAAGATGAAACTCTGACACTGGCTATGCAACCGGTACTTGGAAAAGATTGGAGCTGAGGAACATGGGTCCTTCAAAGAGCTCAAGGAATCCCTCCCCCACTCTCCTAGGATGAGTCGGTCTGTCCAGAGGACACCCAGAAAGGCCCCCATAGAACAAGATCACCATTATTTTTTCGGGCAGGAGATAAAAGGATGTTGAATTCTCATATGAAGAAAGTAGGTGGTGCCAGAGGATGCGAAGGAGTAACTGGGAAATCAAAATGTTTGCGTTAATTTGATGGGACAGTTGGAAGGACATTTCGATAGATACTATCTAGGGGTCCTTGAGTACGGGATTCACAAAAGAGAGAAAGGATGGGTGTGCGTCCAGTAATTGTGAAAATACATGTGTGGATGCAGAACTGACTAATGGGATGGCCACTAATGGGATGGCCACTGACTAAATGGGATTCACTGGCAAGTACAGTCTCTACGTTTCTCCTGGCAACTGCGGGAACTCATTTGTGGGCCATGATCTAAGAGGGGTTTGTTGCTTTGCTTCGCTTTGCTCATCTGTTTGTTTTAAAGTGTCATAATTCAAAAGCACTGAGACAACTTCAGCATCAAGGACTCCAGAAAGGACAGATGTTTTTATCTGAGAGGAAGAATTTAGAGTTGAAAAGAAATTTTATTAGCTCATTTCACAGGTCAAGAAACTGAGTCAGGCCAAAAGGTTTGCTTTTTTCCCAAAAACCATATAGCTATAGACTGGAGAAATCTAGGGCTGAACCCCATCATAGACTCCATTCAGCACTCCTTTACGGGCCTAACTCTGCAAAATAGCAAAGATAATCTTTAACCAAAAAAATAAAGGAAACCTTAAGAGATATGTGCTGATGTCAAAACAGAATAGGAATGGTTATCTAGAGAATCAAGTATTCTGAAAGCAGAAACGTACTTTCAATAATAGGAAGCAGTAACAATGTAATTCAACACCCATATATTTCAAACCCATAATTTATCTCTTGGATCTAGTCCACTATACTCTGTTATGAGTCATAAAAATGAGAGCTGTGCTCTGTTTTAAAGCATCTCGATCATAACGCTGCTATTTCACCGACGGGATTCAACTCCTCATCGTCTATGATATGTTCTAAGTGTTTCTAGGAATTCTAAAAAGACTTTCCATGCGCATTCTTACTTTGTTTCACTACATACCTTCCACTCACTCACCAGTTCTCTTGTTATATGACAGCTCAAACTTACAGTTGACCTATTTTCCTCATGAATGACCCGCATCTAGTAGTGACACGCACCGAGATGTAACCGAGAGCAGCACTGGCTGTGATGGGTAAGGTCATGTGTCAACTTGTCTGGGGATTGGCTCTCAGTAGTTTGCCAGGTATGTAATGATATACTTTGGCAGTTACATAACAATGTAGTCATTCTCCATCTTTTGTGATCTGATGTGGTTATCCTCCATTTTACATAACACCGATTTTCTGCATATCAACCTGGGATTTGGCACCCAGCCATGTTTACAAGTGAGGCGAGGCTGCAAATAAATATGTGGAGGTATTTACATATACTCTCTTTACATGGTGTCTATACCCAAGAGCCCTACTGTGCTTATGCACCTCACTGGGAAACAGTACGTATGTTCTCGAGATAACACTCCTCCTGTCCCTCTCCCCTTCCGTTTTGTTCCTCATTCTCCCTGACTTTTCATTTCCAAACATACCACGAGAGCCTCTGGTGGTAACAGTCAATCACCGCCACCCACTGCTGTGGCGTCTCTTCTGACTCATGCCTTGCTGGGTGTGTCAGAGTAAGACTGTGCTCCATCGGGTGTCTAGTGGCTGTTTTTTCAGAAATAAATGCCCAGGCCTTTCCCCCACAATGACTTTAGGTAGACTTGAACCCTCAACCTTTTGGCTAGCAGACAAATATTAATGGTTTGTAGACAATGGCAGCTCTCCTTAATTTCACTGCCCTCTATTTTTATTCTTGGCAAATGTCTCCATCT